GAGAGAGAGAGAGAGAGAGAGAGAGAGAGAGAGAGAGAGAGAGAGAGAGAGAGAGAGAGATCCCTTGAGTCACCTCGAGTCACCGGCAATGCTGCGCTCGCTTTCAAGCGCGATCCCTTGAGTCACCTTCAAAGGTAAGGGCATATACTTTTTTTTTGGGGGGGGGCCGTTTTTGAAAGTTGGTGCCCAATATCCGTAGCATGGCGCACATGTGCTGTATACGAATACAACACACCCCGTGTGTTCTATTCATATACATCGCACATGCGTTTTGTTCGGGGGAAGACTGTAGTGTGAGCATGCCATTTAAAAAGCCGGATTCTGCATGTTCTCGACAACTGCAGTCAAACTGTACAACCACAAAAAAAAAAAAAAAAAAAAAAAAAAATCTAGGCCGTTTTCCAGCTTTTGCCCGGATTGGCCAGGCAACCCTGTTGCCCCCCCGCCGCCCCCCCACCCCCCCCCCGCCCCACCCCCTTCTGCTCCTCCTCCCCAACCCTTTTGCGCCCTCCCCCCTCCTAGCTTGCTTACCTTGTGCGCGGATTGGCTGATGTTGTATCGTAGATTTGCATGCATTACACATGCGATTACATGGAATGTAGTCTAATTGGAGTTATTGAACCCAATTGTTGCCCAATTAAAAATCAATTTTCTTTCATCTAGGCGGTGTGCGCGGACTTGTTTCCGGTCACCACCTACATATACAGAACATCGTGGGTGAAGAAACGAAAAAAGAAAAAGAAAAGGGACAGCTTTTTTGAGGCCTTGATAACTTGTTTGAGGTCATTTGCAGGCCTGGAGAAGTTTTACCTCTTTTTTTTTGTTTCTGATTTTGGCATTCAAAGCTCGTACTCAGACTTGTACATTTTTGACTTGATCCAGTCTTTCTATTTTTGAGTCTGATTAAACTCAGCAAACTGCATCTATGCTATTTAGTATTTGGCCTGCAGGGCAGACAGGCTGACAGCCTGCAGCTTGTCAGAGAAGAATGATGGAGTTGAGGGGGAAGAGCAATGGCAAAAGTAACACAAACTTTCGCTGTTTTTCTTTTTTTGTTGTTTTTCTTCTGGTGCAGGTGGGCAGACTTCTTGCCTTCTGTAGGTATCTCTGCATTTTCTGACTGGTGAGTAGGGGCGTCAGAAGGGTTTTCATTTATGTTCATTTATTTCCATTGACTCTGTGTAGTTATTGCTATTTATCACGAAGAAATTGTGAAGATTGACCAGATACGAAGAATGGTTAGAGTCTTGACAATTTGTTAATCAGAGGGAGAGGTGGCTGAATGGTACATACATGTAACTGGTGATGAACTGATCAAAGGTTTAAATCTCCTTGATCTGTGTTGCATACCCCAACGGTCGGCACCCCTCGACTGATCGGCACCTACCGGTTGGGGGTTGTCAGCACCCCACAAAAAAAAAAAAAAAAAA